GACCCGTGGCGTTGCTTCATTGAGATAAAGAACACTTATCACATAGCACAAAGGACGGGCCATGGTGCTTTCCCCGAAAGTTGTGTTGAGTTTTTATCAGTTTCCTAACTTAATAAAAAGAGTTGAGAAAATTCTTTGCCTGCCTTGTGTGCTGGTGTTAGTCTTGGAGACATTCCTGTTGGCTGACTTCAGTCCTGTCCCACCAGCCAAGGCTCAGGCCTGCCTGCTGGCGTCTGCCCTTCTCATGAGCTGGGAAGGGGGACCCACCCGGATGAGAGGTCTCCCCATTCCTGTCTCCTCCTGAAGTTACTTCAGAAGCCGTGAAGTTGATTCCGTGGAGAGCCCTGATCCTGTCTGCCCCTCCTCTGGAGGGCGATTCTCTCTTGGAAACTAGTAAATAGAAGCTGGGAATGTCATTCCATCCACTCAAAAAGGCAGAACCTCCAGTTGATGCTCCTTTGTCTGAAAATAACCCAAGCGCCATTCAGAGGGGCAAAATGGCTCCAGGAGGCAGCTCTGCGGTCTGAGCGCCAGCTCACGGCACCATTGTGCCCACTGGTTGCACTGTGGGTCCTGGTCTACCTGCCCTCCTTGTGTGTTTTCATAGTCACCGTGAACCTCATGAGCTCAAGCATATGCCCGCGGGGTAAACATCGTGTTCTATGTTTTGTGGTCTCACCTTCAGGCGCCCCTCAGACAGCGGGCAGCCCAAGAAGGTCATGCTGTGGCGCAGCCTGCGCGCGGGGTGGCTGTGCTGTGAACGGGAACCCGGAGGTGCCCCAGCACGGTGGCTCTCAGCGGTGGCTTCCATGGTGCTCAGTGGTGTGCTGGCCCACAAAATCCAAATGGCGCCTTCACAGTGTAAGAAGTGCTCTGATGCTGGCGTAGGGGCGTGACGTCACATTCCTTAGAAAATGGAATGATCTTGAGTGGGTTTGCCTCAGAGGTGAGTATGGTGCGTGTACAAGGGCCAAGAGCAGAGGGCCTCGTCCCTCCCCCTGCCCAGAGGTGCAGCCCTGGGAGGGGCGTCCTAGGACTCGTCTCGCACTGTCGGCTCCTGCAGCAGTGGTGGGGACCACAGGTGAACGCCACCACTTCCATACAGGCCTGAGCGCTTCACTCTGGCCAGCGCTTCACATCCAAGGCCAGAAGTTGGCTCCAGCTAGAGTCCTGTGAGTACAGCTCAGACAGCAGCAGAGGTGAAGTTCCCTGTCACACAGTCACAGGGTGAGTGTGAGCCGGCCGTGGCCCACAGGGCCCCAGCGTTGCACCCCGCCCCCTCTCTCCCTGCTCGGCAGTCTTCCATGCAATGCAGCGGTTTCCTGGTCCACCCTGGCCATCCCAGCCCCGGCTGTCCCATCTGCACTCCAGCCAGTGGGAAGGGGAGGAGAGAAAGTGATGGGCAGGCCTGTTTTAAGGGCATGGCCCAGAAGTTGCACCATAACTTCTGCATTCTCCTGGCAGCTAGAACTCAGTCACATCCATGCCTGATTGCGAGCGGGACTGGAAAGTGCCCTGAGGAAACTCCAGGGCTCCAACACAACTAAAGGGAACCTAGATATTAGACAGGTAGCAGCCTCTTCCTCTACATGCTGGGTCAGGGTTGGAAGGAACCTGGGCACACCGCCCTGCCTCCCGCTTCTCTGGGAGCATGCAGAGCCACCGTCTGCCAAGATCCTGGCTCTTGTCAAACCCCTCTTGTCAAGCAATTGTCAAGCCCGGATTGTGTGCTGCTCACTGGCCAGTGCTTTGCATAATTACCTCCTTTAACCTTCGCAGTGACCCCCGGAGGTAGACATTCTTGTCATAGTCTTGCTGATGAAGAAATGGGCCCAGAGGTCACAGTAACTTGCCCAAGGTCTCATTCTAGTAGGAGGAGGAGGAGGCAATACAGTGGCAACTGACAGAATGTGGACTCTGGAGCTAGGCCCACCTGGCTTTGGGTTCAAGCTCTCATGTATGGCTCTCATGTATGTACAAGCTTGGTTAAACCACTTGATTCTCTGACACAGGCTTAATGATAGCAGGGTTAAGAGTTGAGGTCGAGTTCCATAAAGCAGTAAACACCATGACCAACGCCCAGATAGCCCGTTACCGGGGGAGAATGGCCGCCACGTTGCAGCAGTGGAACTGGGATTTGAAACCAAGCCATATGCTACATTGTACGGGCTGGGAGTGGTGTTGCTTCCAGTCATTACCCAGCAGGCCTAGCTCCATGTTCCTTGGCCTCCCAGGGGTCAGACTGAGTCTGGGACAGGGCTTGGGGAGGGGAGAAGCCACCCTCCCCATCAGTGATGGGGCAAGGCCTCTCTGGAAACTTTGGGCCCAAGATGGCCAGTGGAGCTTCCCTTGGTTGCGCCTGATGCGGGAAAGAAAACAGGCCATCTTGGAGGCTTTGGCATCCTGAGAGCCTGCCTGGGGGGACTGTCAAGTTGCCAAGGGCAAGGAGAGGGTAGCCAACTGCCGCTTCCACCTGGCTGTTCAGCCAGGTCTCCCTGCCTTCAAAGGACACTTCTTTGGCCAGGAACTGACAAGAATGAGCCCAGAGTCATTCACCCCAAAGGTGTGTGGCAGCCGCCCCTTGCTCAACACCCAAGGCTGTAAATCCTAGTGGGGAAAGAGGCAGCCTCTTCAGAAGCAATTGTCTAATGAGCGCAGCTTGCAAAGAACCTCGGTTCTTCTGGATCATCACTGGGGGGATATTTTGCAGAGTAAGAAACTTGCATGCCCCGTCCATCATGTCCCAGCCCCGGCCCCAATCCCAGCCCCGATGGATCTGCCCGGCCTCTCCTTCAGGAGGTGGAAATTATGGCTGAATTATGGAAGAGGTGGTCTCTTCCAACTTGAAGAGACCATGAAGGTGATCGGCCCCCAGCTCCTCTTCTGCCCTCAGGCCCAGCCCTACCTGACATGCAGCTTGTCCCGCCCGTGGTATCTGCAGAGGTTCAGGCCCTGCCCAGGGAGCCAGGGTGATTCGGGTGAATTTCTCAGAGTGGGCACAGTATTGTCCTGCATTTTCCCTTGCCTTGTTGGGCTTTGGGATGTGGCTTTGCCTCACTGAGGGTCAAGGAAAAGCCTAGAACAGGCCGCAGGCTTCTTAACTTGGGATTTGGGATCAAATTCAGGGGATCCATGCACTTGGGTGGGAGAAAAATGACATATTTATTTTCACTAACCTCTGACTGAGGTTACTGATCAAGTGATCCACCTGCCTCAGCCTCCCAAAGTGCTGGGATTAGAGAGCCACCTCGCCTAGCCCAAGGTCGCTGTTGAGG